CAGTTCTACCAATGTTTTTTGTTTTTCACGTTTTAAGTATCTCGTAAAAAGTCTAATTGAAATACATTGCACAAAATAGAGGCAATTAACTGAATAACAAACGATTTTTCTCGTATGATGCACGTAATTTTTTAATGAATGTTTCGTTATGAATTCGCGTGCAACTTCACCAACTAATGTCGAAACTTCAATGATAACAGCGTGTTCTAACGCGAAAACGGTTGGAATATTATAATAAAGAGCAACAACTCGCTCATTTCCCTGCGAACAACGTTCCTTGCGTGAATTTATTAGGCGGAATTAATTGAATCGTTCCCCATTACTATAACGTGTGATTCATTAAACGGAAAAGGGATTCCACGATATAATTGTGACAGCACGGTATATCGACGATAAGTTTTGTCATTTTCGACGATGAACAGATGATCAAAAATCACCACTGGAAACGTTTCATCGACCTATCAATCTGTTCCACCGTTCAGAATTACATTAACGAATAATTTTGTATTTAATCACCTCGATTATTCTATATTCAGTTCCCTACATTTTATCCTGTGTTCCTTCTGTTTAATTATTTTTTTGAAATTCTTTTAAGCTATATAAAGAGAGTATGTGAACAATATCTCTATTATTAAGAGATACAAAGAACTATTATCTTTCCACGATAGTTTCTCGAAACTATTCATTACGCGCTTCAAATAATTTTCACGTTTTTGACATTAACGAAGATATTTCGATGTTCTTTGAAAGATAATTACGACTGTGTTAAATGAGATATTCATATTTAATGGAGAAAACTTAATAATCTAAAATAACTATATAGAATGAGATAGTCGGCGAATTTATGGGAAGGACTCTAAACCTCAATTTCAGAAGCACACTTTAGTTTCAATGATGGACCATGTTAAGCTTATTAACAAGATTTCTCCCGATCCATGCTCTACATTCCACAGAAGCATACTTTAACTAACCTGTAAATTATCTTACTATATATCAATGGATATCGGCATTCGAAACTTCCCTCCACGTTCCAACCTATTGCATAACGATCTAATTTTACTTCTCCTAATAATAATCTAATTAAAAATATTTAAAAAAAGAGATAATAACAATCGCATCTGGATTCTGATCCCTCGAAATTCAAGAACGAAATATTTTTCACGTATTAGCAACACGACGGAGAAAATGAAAAGCTGAAACTATCTCTTGGAAAAGGAGGGGAAGGGAGGGGGAAAAAAAAAGCACATGCACAAGTGTTCCATACGTAGGAAAGGCAGGTACTCAGATTGTTCCCCGCTGGGTGGGTCGTAATAATTAAAAATTGTAGCTGTGCCAAGGGAGCAGTAATTACGGATTCAAGTGCGCCTGTTGCTTAATTAGTAATTATTATGATTTCTGTTGCAAAACCTTCTGCGGGAGGTCGTTCCTCGCTACGTGGTCGCTTTCCTGTCTACCGGGTGTGGCAACTCGACTTTTACCAACTCGATAAAAAAACATTAGATTTGATTCGCTATTGTGTAATAACTTGATCGAATCTATAGATCAATACCGTGATAATTGAACTGGTGCTGCAATTATCGAAGTGAATTTTAAAATAATAACTTGCTTAATACAACTTGTTTCGTGTAAAGATTCACCAATAGTCGAAATAAAATTATGAATTGTATTTGTAGTGCATTGCATACACGGTATTATTTTATATTGTTGCAATGAAAAGCTATTTGCCCTCTTCCTCCATTATTTAACGAACTTTTTTCATAAATTCGTTGAAAATGAAAAGAATTGAGAGAAGACAATAGAGAGAAGTAAAGTCGAACAGCTATTTATTATTATTCAAGATCAATTATTAATCACACCGATCGAGCATCCACGAAAAGTTTAATCCAAGAAAGTGACGATACACCCGTTAGATTTATGCACACCCAGCATCAAAGCTTGTTTACACTTTGGCGAAGAGTTAAGAGCTTCTCCCAGGCGCTGGGGTGCCGAGTAATCGACTTTCCTGACCCAGAAAGTCAAAAGGGCTTCGTTTACTTGCAATCTCTCTTTCTCTCTCTCTTTCTATCCACCTCCTCTCCCCCTCTTTGATTCTTATACCTGATTATTTCTCTCTCTTCTCTCGTTTTTACCATTCTCTTTTCCAGCAACTCTCCGATTCTATCCGTCTCCTTTCCGGTCTTCTGTCTGTTTTACTCTCTTTCCTCTCTCAGCCAGCCCAGTTTTCACGCTGAGGCGTCTTTTTCCTCGTGGAGTCGAGTCGAGTCGAGTCTGGATTCGGTGCTCGTCGGAGATACGGTCGTATAGTTAAAATCGGGCACTGACCGAAAACTTCAATATTCCGGCTCTTTCACCGGCCAGAGAACGAGAAAGAAACCGAAAGATATCGACAGTTTCTGTTGGAAGAGCGGGTCGACGCAATGGCAAGAAACTGGGGGAGGGAAGGGGAAAGGGAGAGGGAGAGGGGGATCATCGTTCGAGGATGGTTTAGGATATCAGGGGAACGAGGAGAGGAAAAGAGAGGAAAATAGGAAAGAGGTGGAAAGGAGTGGAGAAACGGTTTTTTTGCGCTGCAACACGGGTTTCTGGATCGAGAAATCGAGATGCTGCATCCGAAAGCGTTTCCAACTCTAAGTTCTCGGGTAAATAGCCGGAGACCTTGATTCTTATTGCATCCGGATACTGTGAGCAAGTACCATCGCGACTCGGAATTCTCTCGAATTGAAGGGATAGCAAATTCTTTCTTTCACTCTTTATCTCTTTCCTCGAAGATTGAAAGAGAATTTTGGGGAATTATTTTAACTACTTTAAATGCTTCCAACATTTGGGTTACATTTCATAGAGTTCTTTGTTTTAATTTCAAGGAAAATGAATGTACGTGGTAAGGAAAAATAATTTGTAATTAAACTTTTTACGCGCATGAAACGAAATGGCTCATTAGTAGAAGAGCAATAATTTTTCATTAATGATGCAGCAGTATACAATGATGCTAATTTATGTTTCAAATCCAGCTTGCAATCAATTGCATTCAATTTTATTCTTCATCCTTAATATAATAGTATTAAACTAAAGATGTGTAATTATAATATTATAAAATTTTAACTATAAAAACAATTTACAGAACAAATCTGAAATAATCTGTATCGATATGCTATGCGATAATGAAGTTTGTAAAAAGAAAAAATTCGATATTTAACGAAGAAGAAAATACCTCAAGTAAATTAATAATTATGAAAGCTTAAGTCTGTTCGTCATTTTGTTATTCGAGTTCATTAATAAAGTTGACGAAGAAACAGAGAGAACGAAGAAATAAGAGTGAAGGTATTTATTTGGAATTAATAGTCTTTCCTGATCAACAAAGATCGATCTTTCGTTTTCGAGAAATCGACTAGGTTGGCCAACCGTTTACTTGAAATTCAAATCGCACCTACTACAAGAAAGTAATAAAGGAGCGCTTTCATCATCATCCTAGACGTCTGTGCCCAGCAAAAGAGCACTTAATACTACCACCAAGCCTCGCTATCATCGCGCCTCCTTCAGCCACCACCGACAGCTTCTGTGTTTTCTTTCAACTTTTATATAAGCACTCTGTCCTCTTCTTCTTCTTCCTTCTTTTCTTACTTCTTCTTCATGCTCCTACCACTTCTTCAACTCTCTAAGTCTTCTCTTTGTTCCCATATTCTACTTCTTTCCCCCGCTTTCTTTGTTTCCAGTGCAACCCTCATTGTCCCCTTTTCTTGTAAACACTTCTATTTTTCTTCAGTCACTCTATCTCTTTCTCCCATTCTGTAGATTCCTTCATACTTTTAAAGCGTTCGAACCAAATCTTTTTTATCACATGGGATTCTATTTTCTAACGGTATGTTTCTTCTTTTTCTTATTCATTTACTTCTTAATCCTTTCCTAATTTAAATTGCTCATTGTTCTATAACAATTTTGAGATTACGAGCTTCTTTTCTTTTTCCTTTTCTTTTTACTTGCCTTCTTCTTCAAGTTTCACCGCAACTCAGATTTTGTTGCATCTCGCTTCCCTTTGTTTTAATTATTCGACCCAGAATCGGTTTTAATTTATTTGCATCGTATGACAACGTATCGACAAGCCAGAAAATGATAATTGTTCGAGCTAATACCAATTCAAACTGCTACCCCTCGACTATTTTCTACTTCGTTATCGAAATAATACGTACAATATGTATCAAATTGCACATTATCATTTCATTAAATAAAGTATGCAATAATTTCATGATTAATTACGTTGCATATTGTAACAGGTATTACAATAAATTACTTCGCATATTGCAATAGACGATCGATATGAATTTTAATTATTAATGATTTAAATTTCCAATTATTAAAAATATTTCATTATCATATATTTAGCATTTAATTATAAATAATAATAATACATTAAATATTGAATTCTTTTTAGAAAATATTTTTAAATTCCACTATTTTTACACTATGACATATAATATAATAAATATTATCCATATTAATATTCATAAAGCTATTTATATTCATAAAGCTAATAAATTATTTTTCAAATTTACACTTCACGTATATTATTGAACGCACGTTGAAGTGTAAAATAAATTAGCAATAATAGAATTATATGACTTCATTAATATAAATTTTTTTACTTTCACTCTTTAAATAAATTTATATTGAAATTGTTAAAAAAAATGATGAAAATAATTTTAATTTTCTATCAAGCTTCTCCCATCAAATAAAATAACTTTTGTATGAAAAATTTCATTATATTTTTAATAGTAGAATAACAGTTGTAGAATAATAGTTAAGTATGTATATTAGATATATTAGATATTAGATATATAATTTTATATATTTTATTATATATTAGATATATATACAATTGAATATAAATATATAGCATTGTTTAATGAAAAATTATTTTTACTATGATATAACAAGGAAACTTTTTCTCATAATACTCTCTTAACCTCATAATACTACAAAGCTTTATGAACACTAATTTTTAAATTAATACTTTGAAAGAACAGTACCTTAAAAGACAGAATACACAGCATGGTTTCACTAAACGATGTTGGTTGAAAAAGTGCAAAGTGAAGTAATTGCAGCCTTCTGAAGTTTATAGTGGTTGGCGACACACGCTAGGGACACACGGTTCCATCTTTCCTGTAAATAAGAGCACATGCGAGTCACTTGGTTGCAATAGTTGAAGACGTAGGAGTCAAGAGACCAAAGCTTAAATCGAGTTTGCTCTTCGTATCGAATTTCGTAGAAAGTGCACTCCCCGGTGTGTTGCTTGCCATCGAAAGACTTACTAAGACAATATCACCTCGACTGGCAATCCCATAGAATGTATCATCTAAATTTATTTCAAACTAATACTAACTAGTACGAATACTATGAAATTCTATCTAAAATGAATTTCACAGAGGAACAAATTAAGATAAACACGATTATTTCGAATATTCTTTAGATATTATGTATATGAAAGTTAGAATTTCTACAAATATTTTTATTTTGATACGATATATGCAATTATTATTGTTAGATATTACGTATTAAAATGATTTCTTTATATTTTAAACATATAATACATATAATACATATACAATATAAAACATATAATACAACTTTAAGATGTTAAAATGATTTCAAAATTTCATTTACCTGATGTTCTTTTCGATACTATTATATCGTTTCGATATCGCCGATATTTTTAATAATTAAATACTAATTTCAATATTTTAATACTAATATTCTAATTTTCTCTCATTTGTTGAAAATGTGCATACGAAATTCTCTCAAATTTGAAGGCACATACCTAATTTGGTTCCAACTTCTTGATTTTAATTAGCGTTCCAACAATTAGACGAAGTTTGCTCGTTAATCGATTGAAGTTGGTCACAGTTTTAATATTCATAGGATTGTGGGAGTTGTTGCCATCTTCAGAGAAAGGGTGAAATCGATTCTATTCCAACGGTCGTTGCTTTAACAGAAAACTTCTATACCGACCACTGAAATGCACTTCTGCAGTTAAAGAAGAAAATAATCTTATATTTCAGTTATAATGCAGGTTAGTATCATGGGATGCAATAATATCATGTACTGTTATCTGTTACGTATATAGAAGTATTTGATTTTATCGTTACTTTTGAAAATTGAATATAAATAACATAATATATTCATTATTATAAAAAGTGCATAATTATTTTTCATTTGTACTTGTATTGCATGTAAAAAAATTTGATACAAAATATGTACTTGTATATATATACAAGCGAAGATACCAAAGTTACATATTTATTATCTATTCTAAGATCTATTATGCGCATATATTTGAATTTTTTACTAAACTTACTCTACCTTGACAATTCTAAATTGATAAATTCATTTTCACTATTTCTAGTATACTTACTATACGTTTATTCTTGACAGGATAATAGTTGTTCTTATTGCGACGTAACGTAGAATAAATTTACATAAAATAATTTTCATATATGAAAATAAAACATATAATATATATTACGAATGATTACACTTTTGAAATTTAAACACATCTTTAAATCACTTTATCACTTCTTTATGTTTCACAAATTTATTATATTGATTAAAAAATAAATGCTTGCATATTCGACGAAGACATTCTACTACTTACGCCATATTAAAACATCGATATTTATCGATAAATGAATTGCAAGTTATCGATATATTTTATTACTAGAAATATCGGAATCTCATAAAATTACATAATAAAAATATTTAAAAATCAAAATAAAATTTCCCTTTATTAATTACAAAAGATTAACATAATAGTAAAATAAAAAATAATATAAATATTATTTTTTAACTTCGATATATTTATTCGATATTCTTTCGAGTAACCGTTGTATAGTTACCACACCTTGTCGTCTGATGGCGCAAATGTCTAGTTCGTAGCAGTATGGCGGGTGACAATCGTGTTACAGAATTATTTCGGAAAGTGAAAACTATTAAAAAATGAAATACTCGATTCTTGAGATTCTCGAATAATTGAAGACACGAGAGGAAGGAATGTACGACAGGTATATAATAGACATGCGTGAATTGTATACGCGCTTGAGTAGGGATAGCGTGGCGCGTGGGGCTGCGCCGGCTTATTGTCACTTGTCAGTCTGCCGCGAGCGCTCTTATGGAGTAGATCGTGTGTGTCGTGTTTCGGTTCGGTGGTTTCTCTCGTTTATTCGAAGCCGTGAGTGAGTGAACGGTGTAAATAAACATTAATGTCATCGCCGAGGGGCATTTTGGAAGACGCGTTACCGCGTCTCTTCGCGGTTTTTACATCGAAACGCCGATTCATTTACAATTTTAAAAACGTAGTTTGATTTCTAAATTCAACGCCATTCCCGCGTTTTCAAATTCGTAGCTGCGTCGATAAACGTATCGAGTGCACAACGTTACTTTTTCTTGTGCTTTGTGAAAAGTCGTGTTATTGTTTCGTGAAACATTAGTTATTATTGTGTATTTTGAGTGTCCATTGGATTACCACGAAGCGTGGCGTTGCTTCTACGATTCCGGAACAGGAGGAAACGTCAAGTGAGTCAATGATATTTTATTCGTTTGCATGTAATTACAAGACACGTCCAACGTTTCTTGCGTAGCTACGAACGAGGTAGTTAGAAACGTAGACAAGTATTTCCGTTTCGTTTAATATGTCGCGTCGAGATGTAAAAAACATAAACATATTTTGCTATAGCTGAATCTTCCGATAAATATTGTTGAAAGTTAGATAAAAGAACAGGTGTTCCTTTCTCGTCTTGGTTAAATCGCAATTTGCGTGGACATATGTATAAACGTTGGACTTGTATTGTATAAAATACATCGCGACTGTGGGACGAATGACAAATTATATTTTGAGTGAAATAACACACGCACACATACATATATTGACAATTTTCGTTGTCAAATATGCAATCTGAATTTTGCCATACTTTAAATTTAAATATTGATACGAATTCATAAATAAATCATTTCGATTCGATAAAATCAGTCGATTTTCAGTCAGTATTCTATTTTCGATCGAATCTTCAATACGTTTAATTATATTTATTGTTGGTGAGCTGCGGCGGCCATATTTAGTTAAATAAGCGCGCGCAATTGTAATTAGAACGTTTTAAAATTCTAATAGTTCTTGATTTTCCAAATTTTCAAATAATAATTCGTGGCATTTAACGAGTATTTGTTTAAGCTCATCAATTGAATTGCTTGAATAAAATTTCAATGAAAATGAAATAACAAAATGAATCTCTTGAAATTATTTGTTTTATAAATTCTTCTTTTAAATTTATACCGTTTGTACGAATATCACGATACGATTTTTACTTTTATTTTCTTTGTACGTGCAAAATTTCAATCTCAATAAAATCATAAATCCATTAGAAAGATATTTTAAACGATTTAAAACCACTTGTATAGTATGTTACAATTTTTTTAACATTATAAATCGCGGTCCAATTAACAATTTTGAAAATTATAAATTGAATCAAAATTCTATACGAATAAATTATAATTAATTAATATCTGTTAAAAATATTTCATTCAGACAAAAATTCAATTTTTTGGTATCTTTTATTCCTAAAAATAATTATTCCCAAAAAATTTTATATAACGATATATGTACTCAGTAGAACAATTTGAAATGAAAAATCAATATTGAAATTGCAATAGAATACATCCAGAAATATATTTTTCATTTTGCGGGAAATTTGAATCTTTCGTACCATCGCGAATAAAATTTGAAACTGAATAGTTTTCTACCTACGCGACCGATCATTATTGAAGCGTTTATGATACACGGACGAGGGGATTCGTATTTTTTATTGTCTATAAATCATGCGAGGCAACGTGGGTTGTCGTTCGTCCCACGGTCAAGACGTGATACTCACGTCTCGATACATAATCGAGACTCCAGGACATCGAATCGGCGATCTTCGAGACAGCGTCGCGGCGGCAAATTCGAAAAAATAAAAAAAAAGATAAATATAGAGAAATAGTCGTCGATCTGTCAGAGTTACGGATGGTCAAACGTTCGTTGATGCGAATCAACATCGCGTCGCTCCAATTACTTCAATTATAGTACCGTCACGCTGATTCGAGCGTACAATGAATTTTTTAATGGTCATTGTTTTCGATTGGTCTTGCATGGAACAAGATTGGAAATTCGCAATTAATAATCGCCGTTTTCCTTCCATTATTTTTCCACGCTTGTCTTCCTCCTCCCAGTTGATCACAGAATTCATTGGCCTTGTATCGTTGATATTAATTTGTTATCGATTACAAGTCGTTCCGCTATAATAAATAATCATTCGAAAAATCATTTTCAAAATTATCTATAATTCGAATTATCTATATCTCTTGCAATTTCGAAAATAATTTAAATTTTAAA